AGCGTTTATAAAAAAGACAAATTCGCTACATCATTGTTACGCCTTCTAACTCTGTATTCAACAACATTAATTCCACAAGGGCCATTTTATAACTCACATTTTATGAAGTCATTTTATGCATCTAGAATGCTTTCAGACTCTGCTCCCTGTATGGCTTGTTGATTAAAATCAGCGATGAATTTCCCAATTTGCGTTGCCGCAAAATTCTGCTGTGGAAGCTCCACATGGTTCTTACTACCTTTTGTTTAAAGGTGCTCAAATGCTGGACTTCGACTCTGCTGCATTGTTTGGCATCTGAATCCTCAGTTATGCTGATTCCAAGCCCTCGAAAATGAGAAACCGAATGACCAACAAAAGCATTGGTGAACGAGTTGAAGGCGTGCCCACCTCATCCATTCGAAACAGCTGCTTAATTCTACCATAATTTTTCGTTTTACTATTTGCCCTTGATTTATTTTGCATTTTTTTCAGTCCTTTTAATCCGAGGTGGTTTTAACTAGCGTCAAGGGAGTTGGAAAGCTTACATGTTTTTAAGAATCTTCACTGTTTTGACTGCTAGCTGTTAATGCACACGTAGTTTTTTACTAAAGACTAAAACACATTAAAGCTTGTCCTCCCTGCCCAATATTCCGTTGTTATGGGCTCTCAAGTACTTTTGTTTTTGTCAACCAAAAACACCATTTCAGTAATTAATAGTCCCGTTAAACTTCGGTCGCGCAACTTGCATGAAAAGCAAGGAGAACTTCATTTCCTAAGTCCCATTTTGCGAAGATATGTTTTAGTAATGCCGTTCTCCTCATTTTAAATGTTACTGTCCAACATTGTGGGATATCAAAGGCGAGGACAAATTACGGTATGACAGACTTTGGGACGAGAGACTTTGAAGTTGTTAGTCAAGGTGATCATTTTCTTGAATGCACGGCCTGCATTATGCCTGGAGTTTTCGATAGGATAAAAGCGTTTAAATACAATCATCCGTCGTTAATCTCTCTGGACAAGTAGTTCAGCACACGTGACACCACTAGCAGAAACAAGACTAAGAGGTATGTTTCATGAAGCTTTATTTCTTTATTAAAAGCAACAACGAGAAAGTTTCTATTCAGTAGCGTACCACCTCCGATAGGCACCTTCAGTTCCAGGTGCTCTAATGAATCGGTGCTTTGAAAGGAGCCAAACTGGAGCCTCACCTCGTCAAAATGTGTCATTAAACCCAAAAATACTTTTCTATGATTAGGTCAACCATGTGCACATTTTAAACACTGATGTAATGCCGTTCCATTTTTTGACCATCAAGCTTACTTCAAGGTGATTGCGAACTGTGCATTTACATACCCCGCTTCTTGGCTTGCCAGGGCTTATTGACACTTTCGCATAATCATTGAGCCCACGTGAGCGATGGTCATTGGGCCCGGAAAGAAAAGTTGACAAGCGCATTGTTTAAATCACATAAAATTGCAATACTTCAATCTTTACCTCATTGGTTTGGCTATAAGAGCACTCGAGAATCCATGCTTGCAAATTTGCTAGGCAGCATGGTCTGTAGTCCATATCAGTTGCCTCAGCCCTTCCACCCATCTCAACGGTACAAGGGAATATAATGAATGAGCATCACTGTTGACGAAAGCTTTGAAAGGGACACGACACAATAGAGCATTGACAGGAATGCCTAGTCGATGCTGTCGACATCTTACTTGATGAATTTTGTAAAAAAACAATTTTGGTTCACACACCTGAAAATATACTTTAGCTTATTACTGCATATAGCTGCAGGCAAGACTGACAAGTTTGCATGCCGATGGATTTTCCTCATGGTATGCCATTTCTCCGTTAGTTCACGATCTTCTCAATGCCGAATAATTCTGTCAACCACAAATTCTTAGTGGCTGGAGTCCACTGCACCAAGGGGCCCAAAAAGGCTCTCAGAGAGTGGAATATTTTTTATTAAATTGATGGGGATCAAGATAACCTATTTCATGTGTAAATCTAGCTGACATGTCCGTGTTTGGACCTCATGAAGTTCACGCAAGTACTATTGTGTTAAAAAGGACACTTTAGTACCTTATTTGCTGCATATTTTTCCATACTTGCATTTTTAACGAAAATAGCACATAATGCGAGAGCAAGAATCTTGCGTTACCAAGGACAGTTGACAAAACAATTTCTGAAAGTGATTCTTATTGAGTAGTCAAAATACCATTCCCAAATACATCTTGCACTTAAAGGAGTGACGCAGTATGGTTGCATAAATACGAGCCCCTAATTTCACTTCACTTCTTCGCGTCACAAAATACAATTCCAGCAATTTTTGACGTTAAAATTGAACCCCTCTGATTCTGCTGGCGCTTAGCTTTCCCATACCTGTTCGAAAACTTGCCTTCTCAGATTGCCATAAAACCCACCGCATAACTGAGTGAGGATTCTGAGTGGTGGAACAATTTTGCGTGAAATAGGACATTTATGCGACTCTAAGGGGTTTCAGCACCGGTAAATGTCTGTTTTGCACATTCGCATGGGCAACGTCAGAGAAGATAGCTAAACTGATTTCTCACAAAAAGTAATAGCTGATGACGCCTTAAAGTTCTTTGCTTAGAAAATAGTTCCCAATACCAAAGTTTCCCCCCAAATCAACGCCTAAAATTCAGAAGGAGGAAATGAAAGAACATTAAGACTCGCGTACAGACACGCTTAAACAGTTCAAAAAGAGGAGGCTTTGTTGCATTACAACTCACAACGGAAGTAACGACTTCATCACCGCCTTGACAGACATGAAATCATTCAATTGAAAACAAACAGACGCTGACTAATTTTGTAGGGAGGAACAGTGTCTTCAGCTTTAGAAGGAATCCAGTCGATCCCCGTTGGAAACACTAGTTTGCGGGTCCATAGCGCGAAAACTCGAAGGCTCACTAGGGAGTCAACCTGCTCTAGATAAGCATCATCATAATACACCCAGTTTGATCCTGTTACGTCCCCCATAGCCTACACTCACCAATGCTGCTCCTTCTCTCCGTACTCGATCCTGCTCATTACCTAATAGGGTTTGCAACGATGCTGTCCGGCCGATATCATCAATTTGAAATATTAAATGCCCAGATTGTTTACACCTCATTTCCCTCTTCCGATTAATTAATTGGTGGAAACAAATGAATAAGGAGTTGTCGTAGTATTATGAATGGAACCTTAATAAATGACACCTCTTTTCACGCAATAGGAGAACCTAAGTTAGATGTAAGTTACAAACGGAGACGAGTGAGGATGGATTTTCACGATTCGCCTATGTGATTAGAAAACAAATTTGCAGCCAAGCACTTTACAAGCAAAATGCGGCTATCAAAAGGCCCGGAAGAAGTGGAATGGTGTTGAGAATAAACTCAACAAACAGGGGATTACAACCATGGGATGATAAACTTGTGTACTACCGAAATAGTGTATTCGTCAATGATTTTAAAGGAAAAGCGCTATTATCCTTGATAACATTGACAGTTGAGTATTTATGTCCAAAATCGTTACCAATGCCCACATCTGTACGACTTATTATGCATATTTTTATCCACAATGTAGATATTAGAAATTGTCTAGATGACCAAACCAAGGCAAGGATCTTCAATGGATCTGAAGGTTGGTGCTGCCTTCGCAATATCTTCAGAAAGTAAAACTTATTATGCAAAAAGAACATGTAAGTAACCCAGACACATTGAATATTGCCACAGAGGTCCAACAAACTCATTTCACTTTCATTTATTAGCATCCCAAAATAGAAATTTGCGAGAAACCAAATGCTTGCCGAAAATTCCATCGCTGAAGCCTCAGAAACAAAATACTTTGGTACACACAGAAGGAGCAAGAGGATAAAGAAACTTCCTAGCTGGATAATTGGAACAGTAAAATCGTCTAGGTGAGGTAAAATCTACTTTGAAACTCCCATTTGACAAAATAAAACAGCAGACTGGTGACAATTATGGGGTCTTGCATCTTTTCCGTGCCATGATTGGCTTTTAGATACCCAAAGTACCTTAAAAGTTGCAATGGCTGATAAGAAGGTTATAAAATAAGACTTTAAATTCGCTCCACACTACTGGTCCTTCTCAAAAAGCACTCAATTAAGAAAGGATTTGAGCAGATCGTTTATGCTAAAATTGCTCTCAGCTCAAAATAGCCGAGTTGCAAAATCCAAACAACCGCAAAAAATTGCAGATTGACGTGTGGTGATTGACTCACAATATTCAGTACGCGAATGGAGTGCCTCCCCTGGGACTATTCAATGGTGTCAAGCTAAAATGAAAATTGATTTGTAGCCAATTTACTTTCAGCCGCTTTTAAACTAATTGCCAGACCACTCTTCTTGTATAGAAAAGGAAAGGACTTATACCAAACGGAGTTCAAATGTCAAATTGCGCAGGTGGAATAGATGGAAACACTGCGTTAGGATTGAAAATAGTTAATACACGACTAAATTAAAATTGTCATTTGAAAAAAGGTTCCAACCTAGGAACTCATGAAGTGATGATAGAAATCGCAGTATTCAGTTTTTATCAGTAATATGCTGATTTAATATGCGGGAGTTGGGAGTGAATGGGAGACGAATGAGGTTTAAACACTTAAATGGAGGCTAAGAGAAAAATGAAATAAATTGTCATAGAAAGACTTGGTTTCGTAAAATATGAGCACAAGTAATATAAACACACCAAAAGCGTCCCAAGGCCCAGGACAAACAGCTAGAGAACAACTGTGTACATTGTGAAGGCATGAAAAATAAGGGAGGGGGAAAAGGAGACCGTTGAGGAAGTGCGAGATCATGCCCTTTAGTACGCCATATTATTAGGAGTTGCGTTGGCAAGATGAGAGTAGAGAGGGTAGCTCGCTTTGGCTAGCAAAAATAGATGTAATGAAAGAAAAGCAAACAGTGAGAAGAGATGGAGGCAAGGAAAGCGAAAAAGGAGTGGCTGTCATGCAAAAGGAAAATTGATTGATCACAGCCGATACCGAGGGAAGCGGGAAGACTAGAAGATGTCGGGGCACTTTGACCAGTCCTGCTTCGCCTTCGCCACCCAATACGTACCATTAAATTCGTGACAGTCTTCATCGAAGTAAGTGTCATGGGTGGAAGAGAACCAAACCGGAGTGTAGGGTGATCCACACTCGGGATCTAGTGGTCCTTCTAGCAAAGTCGACATCAGTGTGTAAAAACAAGCTACTTTTTACATTGTAAGTAATCAGGAGTGTAAACAGACCTCCAGCCTCAAAGAGATCCCACGCACGTCGCTTGCGTCTCTGTTTTACTTCAAGACGCTCCTTCTCGGTGTTCGCCTCGTCCCATCGGCCGAGCTCCATTAACCGCTGATCTGGTCTGAGACGCGAGTCAGTAGGCGCCACGCCCTGCTCGGGTTCGTTCAACTCAATGGCAAACTGGTTGAAATTGTACATCTGAGGAAAACCTGCTTTAAGTAAGTTGCCCATCCACTCAATAAATGAGTTAAGTTGAAGGCTTACTGCACTGCCACATGCCCACAAAGAGGGCGAAAAAAATCGAATAGAACCGCAATTTCACCTCCATAAGAGATTTAACTCAATAATCCTTTTGAAATGTGTCAAAGTATGCTTGATAGTGATTTTGGGGAGGAATGCACCATTAAAGTGCAATCACACATGCTTCAGCGTATGTTGAAAAGAGGACAATTAAAACGGTTGTTTTAAAATGCTGGTTTTTGGTTTTTTCATGCAGCTAAATTTGATGATCTGCTCTAAAATAGATAAAAACAGTCTTACTTATCAACTCCATGATGCAGTGGGTGACAAATGAATTTCGTTCTCAACCGGTTAGACAGGTGAATTCTCCGAAGTAAAGGTTTTTATCATTTCGCAAGTACAAAAAATAGACAATTATCCCCTTAGAAGACTGCTCGGTCTAACAGACAACTTTGACCGCAAATAATCGTCACAAGCACTCTGATGGATCTACTTTACAGTCTCATATGGCCTCATGCAGTGGAGAAAATGCTTGAGCTTACCGATTCGGAGTTTGGAGGAGGGGGCTCAATGACCAGAAGCACAGTGGACAAGCCCTTGGGTGTTCCATCTGGAGAAACAGCACAGCCCTCTACTTGGCTGTCCCATCTGCCGCTCAGCTTGTATACCAAAGTGCCCGAGGGGTCGTAAATGAACCCACTGACCTATTAAAGATGACAAATAGTACAATTGGAGGAAAGGCATACCATGATACCCACAAATTCGTTGATGCAAAGATTCGATGTGCGGTAACGGAAGGGACTGAGTTGATCCAACTCCAATGTCATTAGGATTAAATACGTTGATAAATTATTGTAAAAGTAAAATCTGAGGCAGGACATGGAGAATAATTACGCTTTTTGTAGCACACCCACGCATGAGCGCGCAAACGCGTTGCCAGATTAGAGAAATTCAAGGTAACCACAGTGACATCGACACAGAAAAGTGGCGCGGAAGGCGTAACACGAAACTGGACTAATGAAGATGGAATTTGCACAATACTGAATTTCAAAAAGAAGAGACAGAGACCGGGAGTAGATTACCGTAAAATTTTACAACCAGTTGACCGGAGCTTAAGTGTTACATATTACAACCCATACAACTGGGGTATGCCAAAGCGTGTGAAAGTCGGTCTTAGGACTATAAACCCTGGAAACGACTGCCATAGCTGAAGTTAATGATTACTGCAAACGCATATAAGATAACCGATAAACATTTAAAAGATTGAGACTGGGAAATGCAATTCAAAACATAAATCATGCTGCAAAACGCATTTATGGAAGACAAATTTGGGGTTTTCTTGAGTTGTTTTTGTTGCAACAATGATGAGATCTCAACCAATCGAGCAGTTCCAGGCGGATCCAAAAATTTTAAAGCAACTCCAGTGCGGAAGGACGGATGCACCATTCAAAAGAACAAAGGATGACAGCGGATATCACCACAAGGGTGCGGTTGGACACGTGTGTTTCGTACTACCTTTACTAACCGCACAATTCACATAAGTACATTTCGAGTGGCAGGCGCACAAATTCACGCATCACTTGCAGCTGCCTCACTTGACTTTCGCTAACGGCCTTCGGTGTAAATGATTTGCAGGATGTGATTGCTAGGCTGCAAACTCAGCAACTAACGGGAAATTTTCGTGAGGAAAGTAGTGTAAATACGACACGAATGGAAATCAACAACTGCAAATGAGAGGATCAAGACTTGGCATATGAGTGGCAAGTTTCATAGGCCTAAAGCCATACAGCAGTGTCTGCGACATTGGCGTAAAAGTACAAAACAATATTGTGGAGCAAAAAACTAGCTTTCATTCGAAATTAGATTAAAACGGTAAATGCAATCGCGAAAGAAGTGCTCGACTTTGGGAATTCTCAGGGAAGAAGTAATGTGGATGTAAGGGGCTGACATGTGGCCTCAGTGGTTTCCCGATTTTAACTGGAAAGTAGTAGTTTTGCGACAGAGGATGAAATATAGAACATGACTCAAGCCTTCATTTGACTTAACAATACCTCACGGACCAAAAATCAAACGAAATTGTTTGCCAAGCATTCTACGGCGCACGACTAACTGTCCTATGAAATCGACATCCAAAAGAAAATTTCCCGCAGCAATTCCAATGGCTGAGGCTACACAAAGGTTCCTGCTTTTTGAGGGGGATAACTCGAGCGTAGGATTAAAGCAAACCCACAAATGCAAACAAAAAAATAAATAAATTGGCCAGTCTTTACATAAGTGTGCAGAGCATCCAAGTGAAATTGCAAGAAATTATCCAACTAGCAGTATTTCGTTTAACAGTTAGTTCAGAGGTCTAAAAATGCATATTTAAATCAAGCCAGAATTCCCATTCAATCAACTGCTAATTAATGCATCAGTAAAAGGAAACAGTAACGGTTGAGTAAAAAAACACGCTTCTTATAAAATAAAAAGGTCATGCAACTTTGAATAGCGCAAGAAAAACATCTGAAAAGCGTAGAAACAAAACAGTTGATAAAACCTAACCGTAACTCAATAGTAACCAACTCAACATCATAAAATCCACAATGCATAAGTAATTGTAAACCAGCAGTTTGAAGATGTCCTTGTTACTAAAACTCAGAGATTGAATCAACAAATAAGGCAGACGTCTTAGGGTGAACTCCAGTAGGTGATGAAAATGAACAAATAGTACCGAAGGGAAATGCATCTGATGCAATACAAAACAAGGTTGTGCTAATTATCACAGCTTCTAAGCTGAGGCTATTGCTTCTGCCTGGACCAGTACATTAGGGGAATGATGCTGCAAAGAGTAAAGTCAAACAGCACAATAGCAGCATAAAAGATCTCACAATTTAATGGAAGTGTTTAAGAACTAGAGGATAAGGGGAGGAAGCCGCACACCTGCCGATCTGGATCACGGGAAAAATATGAGTGTGCCTCGTAGCGCATGCGACAAGAGTAATTGGTGTTGTGGCTCTTTATCACAGTCTCGCCATGAATTTCAGCCCACAGTCGCCCCACGATAATGTTGTGCACTGTGATTGTCACCTTAGACCAGGTGTAGTGTTGACCATCCTTGAAGAGAAGATGCGTACCACCTGAAAAAGAAGCAAGACATTTTGAGGAGCCCATCTTCGAACAGTTTGGTCTTCAAGAACAATCTCCTCAACAAAAAAATTATAAAAACTGCGTTGATGATCAAGTTTACACAACTGCTGAATTAGCAAAATACAACTTTATGTGATCGACATTACACCAAGAACAATCAACCATCATCCTAGCTATCTTACAGAGAATGAATTATTGAGATTTAATGCAGAGATGCGTGAGAAAGAAACAAATGCGTCCTAAACAAACATCTGTTTAGCAGCGATCTTCCACAGACGGAAAAGACAAGGAAGATCAAAGCCAATTTCAGAAGTGCAAGAAAACTTCGTCAGAAAAGACAAACAACCAGACAGCCACTGCAAGTACTGACAGTGGAGGTACATTACCTTACTGACCGCGTTGTTAAATCGCAGTACCTTAAATCAACATATCTGCAGATCATTGGGTCATGACAGCGGACACAGGAGAAATTTATGTTGAATTAATCAAAAGGAGTTACGACATTCTTGGATAAACCACTTACCTTTAGGTATTAGTGAAAGATATTTGCCACGAAATTTGCTGTTCACGGTGAACTCTTGCCAGAATTTCCAACCGTAGCGAGTGGATTCACAGTAGTGAGCAACGACAGGTGGGTGATGGCTTACCTGCATAAGAAAAACAAATTCAACACAAGCACATGCATTTGAATGCCGTAAGTACCGGAATTTCCTACAATACGTAGCAGGTAGTTGTAACAATTAAACGAACACAAATTTCCTGTTGAAAACATGTAAGCTGGATTATTCAAATAAGGTCTGCGAACAAGTCTTTCAAAGGAGCATGGAATAACCTGCCAAAACGTGAGAGCGGACGGAGCTTCCAATCAGATACGTGACTTGCCTGCTCAGCGAAGCTTCGCCAGCCAAAGTCGTCGGAACGATCGCACTCATAAGTTTCGCCGAGAAGGGGGTTGAAGGGTTTGCTCATGCGCACTGCGGTAGTGGCGTAACAGGAAACCGAAAAGGCTGCGATCCACGCCATTCGCCCCACCGGATCACTGTTCGCCACCTGTGCCGCTTCATCAAGGCATTTGGAGTAAGTCAGGTCCTCTGTCACGCGTTGCAGAAAGGAAAGCGGTTCGTTGAAGTTCACCTACCAGGAGTATTTGAAAACGGGGACGCAAAATAAAAGAATATCTCACCATTTTTAAAGGCGATACCTTGAAGGGAATTAACGAAACACCATATTTTATTTCGCGAAATTCAAAATCTTAGGCATTGAAATCAATAACCCTTCGGAGTTCCATACTTCAGAAATTTTAGAGCTAATATGAGCGGAGGATGCGAAAATTAGGTGGCTCACTTAAGTTTCTAATTCGATTCTGTTTATGTAGAAAAGATAACGAGATAGGTATGCATGTGAAAACCATTTCCAGTTTGCCTACACAAAAAAATTAGTACATCGACTCGTGACTCTTGCATTAGAGTTGCAGTGACCACCAAAAAACCGAAGTAATCACTTCTCTTTCATATAGTGCTTTGGGGTTGAAGTGCGTCATTCAGAGGCCTTTTGTAGATTGGCGAAAAGAGTAATCAGCAATTTCTTCAGAGCGTTCCATTACCCGTATGTGTTCAATTCAAGGTCGCTGCTTTAATCGCAATACAATCGAACCACTTCCATACACACAAAATATAAAGTGTATTTGTAGAAAACTCGTGTTTTTTATGCCAAACCTCCAGAATTAGAGGACTGCTTTCATCGAGACTCCATTCCGAAGGCACCAATGTAATCTTGATTTTAGAAATGCTTTTGAGGTCACCACGACCAAGGAGACCCACATACATTCAGAGTTAGCAAGCATAATAAATGCACAAAGTTGGCCTTTTATAATTGAGGAATGACTTTTACGCCTTACAAAGACCAATAGAAATAAAAACACTATTGTACCACTGGTTTCCTGCCAAGGCAAAATCTTTGTTCACAAGCAAATAACAAACTTAATGCCCACTCACACAATTCTTAATCAAGTTATATAATTAAAGACGATAGAACTGGTTACATAACATTCCACATTTTCGTTAACGACATTGTATAAACGTACGAAATAGAGAACAGCTACTCTATATTCTGAATGGGAAACCCACCGGAAGAGGTATTCTGGAGAGTTCCTTGCCAATGCAGTTTTTCAGCACACCCCAAAGATTTAGAGAGATGCGCGGTCGAGGTGGTATGGCGGTTCGGCGTTGGCGTCCGGAGGTCACTGCAAATCCCTCTGGATGGTTGATAACGTCATCTCTTCTCTCATTCAAGTCCTCATCCTGACCTCCTCGATTCCCTGAGCTATTCATCCGAGCCTAGAGGGGAATATACCAAATACCAGGTTAGTCTTAAATGTCCGATAAGTACTCCAATGTGCGGAACCTAGTCCCACCTTTGAATCAGCTTGTCAAGTAGAGACGGAGGTTTCATTTGTGGGATCTACTGATAGCTGCAACAGCGGAACATTGAGAGCAATGTTTGTACTCAAATTACCAAGGCACTAAGAATTACACTGTTTACGCGGCTAAATGGAGAAATCCACAGGCTACTTCGTCAGATTAGCGCCAAATGAGATAAAAGCCAACGAGAGACATGCGTGAAAACAGCAATTCAGATGCAGACACATACCAGTAGGGGAGTTTTGATGATTGGGGAGAAGAGAGTGCGATGAGCAAGACAACTTTTCAGAGATAAGAAAGCCGATTACACACAAACGCAGGTGGCTGGCTGGCGGGCTTCGAGCGACTGCAGCGATAGCTGTGGCTTACGCCAACACCACTGACGCCAAGTGACCAATGAGAAGCGAAGCAGGCCGTAATAGTGGCGTAGAGACGTGTGCGAGGCAGAGGCGTGGATGCAAATCGCGATTTCAGCAAGGCGCTCCTTTCTATGGATCAAATCTGTTGTATTCACGAGCATCGCAAAAGCATACAGCCTCCCACTTATCAGTGCAACCCGAAAAACCAAAACAGCAGCCGAGTTTTCCCAACGCGAGGGCATTTGGGGATAGGATTTAAAATAAGCACCAGACATCCAGTGGCCACAAGGTCATACAGAACATGCCACAGAGATCTGCAATTTTCACGTGTACACACAAACGCGCAGGGAATTCCAATCGCAGGAAAAGGTGTTTATGCAAAATTCGTTCAAACCCACACGCATATTCGATAGCATGGTGATTGGAAAACTATAAGTGGAAAACCTGTACCTGTTTCAGTCTGCCTCGTTCAAGGTTACGAAGGAAACGCAACATCAAATAGGGGATTTGGGCAGGCAACTAACTTCGCCATTCCGTTATCGAATGAAAATTTCCAGGATACGTAGTAGACTGTATAAAACCAGCATGCAGCAACCTACTTCAATTTGAGAAAAAAAATTTCACGTCAAGTTTTACAATTGCGCGTTCGCCATAGGTATCGCAGTATGGGAACAATGGGATAGGGCATTAGGAAGTATCGAGAACATAAAATCATTTCAATCACTTTGACCTTTAAAGATGGGGCTGTAAAAGCGACAGAAGATTCAAGAATACACGAAAACAAAGTGCTGAAAAACCCTCTAAAGGTTACGCAACAAGAATACTCAACCATAAAGAAGCATGGGCTGCCTTCTGAGTCATTTATTCACGACTACCTTTTTGATGAGATCAGAAAAGCATCAAAAAGCCAAACACAACGTTAACATGTTTTGTAGTAGGCTTAGACTAAAGATCAATGCATGCAAAGTAGCTTATAGTACATTTTAATTTCTAAAACTTTGTTCTCCACGTGACGAAAGGTAAGGAAATAAAAATTTGTAAGATGATCCAGATTAGGAGACTGGGAAACGCAACAAAAATGAAGACAAGGGAGCGAGGGGAAACCTTTGGCAAGGAAATGCAACCGAATAATTTCTTAAATCATACCTAATTATGAATCACAAAAGACAAGATCAATGGAATTCACTTTGGCGCAACGTATCTACACGATCGAATTAATCCTGTTCTGAATGGTGCAAAAATTCCAAGTAATTACCCTGTCGTGGTCATTTAAATCAAAACACTGTGGTCAATTCAAGCAACACCAAATCGGAATAGTTCTATTTGGTTTTTAAAAGGTTGATGAAGAGACAGAAATGGCAAGATAGCTGACAAATAGCAACACATGGTTTAGCAAAGTATCATGATACAGAAAAAATGAACAACTGTCTTCACTTGTAGCCGATTTTCGATTTATTAATAACATGAAAGCGCCGCATGCGCTGGTGGAAGCAGTGATTTCGCACATTAAAATTGTGTAAATGACATCACGTCTTGAATGAGTTGATCATAATGGAGCACAAGGTACCAAAATCGGGGCATCAAGAGTTGTTGGGTGCAAATGATTATGGAAGGTGCAATTCCGCTGTCTTCTTCACTCTTTTCGAACCTGGGAAAGCAGTGCCATATGGGCGTATCTACTGGGATACGCAAAGAAAAATAGGCGTGGATGTGCGAACGTGATCGACCTACGAGGATCTTCTTACGCACATGCACACATGGATAGGCAAGCAAGTGCGTACATAAGGTCAAATATGCGCTCCATGTTTAAGCTTTGGGTCCACAAGCTCTGGCACTGGAAGAAGAATATGGTTCCGTTCTTCGCATTCAAACAATAGATCACCAGCAAAATCCTTTCTTTATTATAAACCAACTACCGTTTTGTAAGTAGAGCTTATTAAACTTCTACAAGATAGGATTCCGCAGAAATAAGAATGATTAGGCTTGAATTTACGGCTCAGAATGCCAAAAGGCGAAGCAGACACAAAATGAAGAATGATGCCTTCTCTAAGACCAAGATCAAACGATGGATAAATAAAATTGATTCGACCAACTGATCCCTTCAGTGGGTAGTGAATGGGGGCTGTCAGCCAAGCCTATGTTAAACAACATCCCAAGTCAAAGTGCAGGAAATTTTGGTAGTAAATAGTTACGAGCTTGAAGATAGACAAATACCCATGGGAAGGGATGATACTGTCAGTCTTGAGCCCACACAAACAGCTCAGACCCTCGAAGTTTAAATTGAAACGCAGAAATGTGAACGGTAAAATGGCAAATGGGTCAAACTTGACGGCCGTTGTAACTCAAAAACGAATCAACCAATATCAAAACAGTGCGAATGAGGAAAAGCTGCTTACCATTGCTTAGAAAGAGGCATTCTCTTCATCTTATTAAGGGCCTCTAAACTCGTAAGATGATAACTTTGACGTCATCATTAACACGCGATAATGACTTCAAAGTCCATTGTTCTTGTGGTGAGAGCTAGACTTACAAAAACCACGAACCCTCCTTTGTTAAATAACATAGTAATATTATTCCGAGAATACGCCTCAGTAACAATGATCACGATCATGTTTTGCGTTTGGAAGACCGAACAGAGTTATCAAAGGAAACGTCAATCTTGAGGCGTAATTACGACCGGTGTTAATACGGCACTGTGCTTAGCAAGCATGTAACCAAAACGCATTAGTTGCTAGAATAGCCATTACGTGAGTTTAGGATGTGGTCTTGATGCTTCGAAAATGCATATCTTTCCCTCGAGAAAAAAAAACAGCAGTTACTTTCACCGGTTACAGGTCGCAGTTTATGGAATTGGAGTACGATTATTCATGTTATAAAGGGCACAAAACTAAGCTGCACATCTTTGTGTCCAGTTCAGTTTGCGAACAAAGGTCATTTCCACCTTAGCTACTATCAGCATCACAAATTTTCTGATTCTCACTTTTATCCTATACGAAACAATGAGAGATTTACGCTTGGTTAACTTTAGAAAGACTGTTTTGCACTTCTTCTGCTTGAATAACTTTCCCATTGCTGATTTGCCATTGCCTCACTGGGACCAATTCGCGATCATAGATACCTAATTCGATGCATTCAACAGCGTCGCTCTCATCAGCCATCGATTCCACAGTTATGAATGCGAAAGGACAGAAAAAACAACGAAATGTCAGTTCAAAGCATGAGTGAAATCGAAGTTGAGCCATATAAAGAGGAAGACAAAAAAGAAGGACTTACTGCAGTGGAAGGAGTCCTGGTGGTAGAGTTAAAAGCAGGTCGCCCGCCAGGCACCGCGAAGATGCCTTCCTCAACGGCAGCAGTGACCAGGTCGTCCTCATCGCTGCCCGACGACTCGTCCACGTTGCGGAGGCTGCCAAGTGAGGCAAACGATGGGTGTAGCAACATTGCATCGTTGACGCCACTACCACTGTAACCACCTCCACCCACATGGCTCGGAGGCGACGAAACGGTGCTCTCGGCGTCGTAGAATACATCATCCAAGCTGCTAAATGAGTGTATTCCTACGAAGAACAGACATGCACAAGTACAAGAAATCATATCGGTATACGCACCCGCACCAACCTTCTAGTATCGTTTCGTGTTTTTAAGCTTAACAAGTTCTATTGACAAATTTTGAACGCGCTAATTGAAGTCAAACATCCGATAGCTGCTTAAAACGCAGTTGAGATTCCTGAAGCGCCAATATTTTATTTTCGATATAGAATTGAAGGTCATTTACTCCATATGTGGTCACGATTGGAATAAATAAGCAAGTTTTTCCTTTAATGCGGTGGTTCAGTAACTCAAATGCAAACTGACTCACGCTGTGCTACAAAATTTTGGAATGAATGCATAAAACCAGCGATTAGGACCGAAATGACGAATCCTAGGTCTTAATTGGCCGACCATTAATACTCCTTTTTCCTCGAAACTGGTTAAGGGCTCGAAGGGTACTTCAACACAAATTTTCACTCAGTAAAGTGGACGAGATAATGCATAACTAAAGCAACATTGATAAAGCCACATACGACGAGTAGCATCACGCTGGAAGACGACAGAGGAGGGACCCCGGAGATCAGAGGAGAGTGGAGAGGTAGTTCGATTGCTAGTAAGAGATGTGTAGCTGGAGTAGAACTGCGTCTCTAATGCCCGATGCTGCTTGGCCAATTGTTCAACAGTTCGTTCCAAACGCGAAGACTTGTCGTACTCTGTTGCCAACCGACGTTGGAACCACTCCATGGAGGCCGTCCACGCCACCATGGTCTTTTGACAGGTCTAGAAGGACAAAATGAATCAATCGTAGTCATTCGACAACTTTTATTAGGAACTTTCGCCAAAAGAAGTATAGACTGAATCATAACATCCCAGCATGAACGGTGCATTGTTTTCCAATAAAATTTGGCTATAATTCAAAACATTTTGATTGCGGCCATCCACGGAACCCCGGATTTTCATTTGCTGCTTCAAGTAAGATTATCGCTCAAAGACAACTGCATAACCAACAAAGGCGCAAATAAGTGGCATCGAGGTTTTAAATGTAACCTTTTGGGTGAGATATAAAAATGAATAACCTGCAGAAAAAACCGTAACATCAGGAGAAAGATGAGCATTAATCCACAATTACATAAAAGGGTTAAAAGCTTCAAACAATTAGAAAAAAACAAAGAAATACTAAATGTTGAATGAAATCTCTATTTGCAGCCTTTTGGACCACGGCAAGCTATCATTTCCTCGGAGAGTTACACCACCATCCTAACCACACCGCTTACTTGGCGCATTTAACTAAAAAGTAGAACCTTAATAATGAAAGGCACGAAATTACGCAATATGTCACTATCACGATGATGAAAAGCAAAAGCGTCGTCAGCAGAAAAGGCGATATGTTCAACTCCATTTGAAGTGATATATAGATTTTGTATCCCATAGTTGCATAAAAAATCTAAAATACGTGATCTAGTACGTCAAAGGAAGCCACGAGTTCGTTAACGAAATCTTCCTGCAGATAATTAATACATTATTCTACCTAAAGATTGTCCAATCGATGAAAGGCTATGAATGGAGGTCAGGAGATAGATGATTTGACAGCAAATCAAAACCGTAAACATCTGTATTAAAAGAAGGTGCTCTTAACCGATGTGGAAGCATGACCGCAAAAACGACTGACTCAAGTAGACACAAAGTTACGCTGCAAAAAAGAAAGGTTATGCATTTTGCGATGGAAATGTTAAGCTCAGAACACACAACCTACAAACTGGAAGTCAGCGCTAAGAAAATACGCTTAAGGATAATATTTATAAAAAACAACACGACCCAAAAGCTTGCTGGCATGCAAAGTTGTTAATTTTAAAATCGTTTCCGCAAAAACATTCTAAATTTTATTGTTAGGAGAAGAAACTCCGGTGACACCAAATGAGAGCTATCGCAAAAGTAGAAAAGCAGTAGATAATGAGAGACAAGACGTTTGGGATCGCAAAAATTCATTTGTAGATGTCGCAAAATCTGCAGAGCAAAACAACTCTTGACGACCCAATCAATAGAATGAGCCTGGATTAGCTTACTGTCAGTGAAAAAAAACGAAACCTCGCAGGCAAATATTCATTCGCAACATTAAGGGAAGAAAATGAATCATAGCTTCCAAGAAGCGAACCATGACAGGCACAATGGTAGTTAACAAGAATGCAGCAGAATCGACTAAATAGAGCCAATACTTACTCCAAGGGGCAACTACGAATAATAATCATACTAACGCCGTTATTAACATTTCCACTTAATTGCTGCATTAGATAGGAGTATGCTAAATAATTAAGTGGCTATAAAAATGTCCCATCCCACAGGTGGGACATTTTATAAGAACGCATTTTACAGCTCAATTAAAAAATATGGGACGAACAACCTGACTTTGACTACTGATGTAACAGCCTGAGTGTTTGCACCGCTCAAGTACGGATATAGTACCATGAAAGAAAAAAGTGTAGTGTTCTGTAGTTCATAATCACTTGGTCCACTAACTTGACCCAAAGGCAATTGGCTGCATTGTAGCTATTTAAAATGCTTCGGTGTCTGCCATAGATCAGCCATGACTAGCCCTACACTACTAAAGGAGTCACAATTTTGCTTCTTTCATCCAAGAAGCATAAGAGAAGTGAGGTGGCTCCAAAAAGAATAATAAGAGCAGGTGCTGAGCACAAAAGCCCGCATGAATGCCCAGAAGTGGAAGTTATTGAAATACGCCGTAAGAACGTTTAACATTGACCGTTTTCTAGATTGCATCAAGGGAAAGTCTGACGGGATCTTGGAAGAAAACACCTGGTCTCGCAAATGGAACCTCGACAAGTGATACAATATATAAAGGTAGACATAAAAGCTAAAATTTAAGACAATAATCGCATAAAAATGACCTACTTCTATAAGCTCATCTATAATGGACTGAAGATTTGCTAGCGCAGAAAGAGAAACGGTAGCAGAACCCTTATCATTATCCCCTTCAGAGGTGATCGCTATTCCACCAATAAATCCGAGTATGTGATTGGCCTGAATGACCATATTGTCAAAAGTAGAGTCGACCATATTGAGATGATGCTGAAACTCCCGAGTAACGCGTAACTCATTGGCCATACCGGAATTGAGCGTACAACGACGTCGGTGAGGTGAATAGGTGATGGGAATGGAGGGAGACGAGGTAGGTAGTCCTTTAATGTAAGCAGCACCCTTCACAGTGCCTTTAATCAGGCGCGAATCATTCGTCTGGGGAGGTGTAGAGCCATAACTGGAAGACCCCACCTTGCCCACTGGCGTCATTCCAACGCGTGACTGAGTAACCATAGCACATGCAGTCGTAACTTCTGGTGCAGTTGGATCAACAGCTGTCGAGCTCTCAGACACGGAAGCAACGGAGATAGGCTGACGATGACGTCGTCGAAAGGGACGGAAAGAGCGCCAGCCGGAACCGCAATTGTTCTGGACAAGCTTATTGCTGCCTGCGGAGTGTCGCGAAGGGACGTAAGAATTCATTTCATCTGAACAACTATCAGATTCAGGATCTGAAAAAATTACATCACATCCGAAAACAATCCGCTTGAATCACTTGGCAAGATGCAGCGACAAAAAAAATATTAAAGCAGATTTAAGACTGACCGAGAAACGGAGACGTTATATTCTTTAATCACAGTAAGACAAACCAGTCTACCCACCTAACGTTCACAAAACAAGGCAGTTTTGCCAATAATAAATGCAGCATCCACAATTATTACTACGCATAATGCAGTTGCAGAAAGTTCAATTAATTTTGGTAGCTATTCACATCAAATGTGCCTTGAGGCATGAACAAAGAAACTGAAAAATCTGCCAGACACAATTTGAAGGAATCAAAAAAATGTAAAAACTGTTGGACTATCAAAACCACATCTAAAAAAGGACACCTCTTGTGTGCTAAAAGTAAACGACAAGTGCGACAGACAATAGTAAGACATGGCACCAGTGATTAATGGAATCGATTTCATCGCGAAAAGGGCGACCAAGAACAATACTTGATTGGGAAAAAGACGCAAGAACCGTGCAAAGCAGTAATTCAAGAACTCAGTCTACAACTTCGAATGCAAAAAAGCATTGACATCTACCATTTACATCTAACAAGTGAAGAGAAATACAGTACCGTTATTAGTTTGGAGAAGCTTAGACTTGGCAGAAGTAAGAGCAGCAAGCCAACGTCTTTTGTCCTGTTCATTCAAGGCCTTTAGATGGTAGGAACGACCGCGGCTTTCACGTAACACAAAAGACGTCGGTGAATTTTTGGAAGATATGGTGACATTTGTTAAGTCAATCGTCCCCATGCAGGTATGTGATACCGCATTGGCATTGCTAATTAGCAAGAAGCAGGCCGTAATTAGTACTCACCTGTAATAAGAAAACAATCCATTCTCCAATACAAACCACCTTTTGCGATAACCCTTCAGATAATTTGTCCATTTGTATAACCAACCAGACGGTAAATCAAGCGCATTATCAGCACCCATTAATAAAACCTCTCGAGGTATTAGGGCAACAAACGCAAAATACCGCGTTTGGTAAAGACCTATTAATTTTGTTTCTACGTGTATACATTTTTTAATTTTTATAAAAATTATTGCTTTTTGTTTTTTTTATTTTATCCGTCATTTAAAAAACCGCGAGATATGAGGAGTCTGTTGCTAGTAGGCATACTATTTTAATGTGACACACAGACTTTGGTACTTTTGGTAAACGTAGCTTACGCCAATCATACGAATAATTGGGCTGTATTGGTCGAAACTTCGCGATTTTGGTTTAACTACCGTCATGCGGGAAATACCTTGGGGATGTATCGCAGTATCAAAAGAATGGGTATTCCTGATAGTCAAATAATTCTCATGATCGGGGATTCCTACGCATGTAATCCGAGAAATCCTCGCCCAGGAACTGTATATCAGAGTGCCTACAATCCTATTGATTTGTATGGCGATGATATTGAGGTGGACTATCGAGGCTACGAAGTTACCGTTGAGAACTTTATCAGAGTAGTGACCGGCCGATTACCACCTTCGGCACCAGCATCCAAGAAACTCAACACTGATCAGTACAGCAATATTCTCATTTATATGACAGGGCATGGTGGTAATGGATTTCTGAAATTCCAGGATGACAATGAGCTCTCCAGCGTGGAACTGGCAGATGTTGTTAATCAAATGTGGCTTCGTCGCAGGTGGGGTGTACTCTTATTTATTTAGCATTATTAGATATAACGAGATGCTTATTATTATTGATTCTTGCCAAGCTGAGTCAATGGGAAGTCAAGTTTACTCTCCAAACGTCGTCACGATTGGTAGCAGTAAAGTTGGTGAAGACTCTTTCGCGGTACCTTGATACAGCCACAATTAGCATTAATCTTTAGCATCATTTTGATACCACCATTGGCGTATTTGTTGCTGATCGATACTCCTATTACGCACTTCAATTTTTGGAAAGGTTGACTCATGAAAGTCAGCACAATCTTGTTGAATTCGTGAGTGACTGCTGCATTGCCATCCTCCTTGGCACATTCTAAGCGTTCATTTTCCAAATTTTAGTTGAATCTGTGCACTTTCAACATGTGCAAATCGACGGTTAAGTTCCGCACCGATCTGCTTGTTAAGAAACCGCACAATGTATTAGTTACAGATTTTTTCTCTAATACTCATCACGTCGAAAGTGGTTCATATCTACTTCCTGCTGGTGATGTTAATTTAACAGATGGGGTGTGCGCTGAACAGCTTGGGTTCGTTTATTTGTTATTTACATATTTCTTCTACTTTATTTTTGTTGCTTAAAAATCATTACTTCTTTTGCAGTGCTTCGAACAATTTAACTAATGACCATACGTGGGTGTATGTGCAACCCTTTCCGGTAGAGCTGACGACTTCGTAGCCATCCACACATGTCTGTGAGCTTTGTTGCAAAATATCCTTCCTCCTTCTGCATTGTAATCGAATGGTATTGGGGTGATCAAGCTGTTCTCAATTACTTTACGATTCGCTTTTTTGGATTTGCGTACTAGGAGAACACAGCAAATATGATTGGGTATTGTGTTCATAAAATCAGCACTTCCATAGTCTTAACTCGTTATTGATTCGGTTGCGGTCGCATAGGTGGGTGTGTTGCGTCAGGAAAGCGATCTACCCTCTGGATCGTGCCTGGAGGTTGGATCCCTATCCCTTTTCTGCTAAAGATATGTAGCTTCCTTGGGTTTCCCATAAGGTAGTGTAAGGCATGGACCTGTCTGAGTACTTGCATTCAGGGAGACGTGGTGAAGTTGCAATTCTGTGAGCTTTGGAGGTTGTCTCACTCGTCGGAATTGGAGTGGATCAATCGGACAGATGAGTCATTACGTATGTAATGTGCTCAGGCGTAGTGCCTTTTCTCATTCTTGGCTGTAGCGTTGCCCGATTCCTACCAAGTGAGGGAAGGCATCACATTAGGCAGAATACATGTATTCTATGCGAAGAGGAAGGGATGGGGTGCTGGCATGACTCATGCGCAAGGACCAGATGAGTGCCAAAGGGCCAGCTATCGGATGATCATACAAATGAAGTATTACAGGTGTAGCCTCAGGTCGCCATGGTGGTAACAACTGGGCGGGTCAGAGTTGGGATTACAGTAAACCCATGCTATTAAATAAGAGTTAGGTATAGTGTGCGTCGAGATAAAGTTAGAGGAGACTAGATAATTGTTAAGCTAACATCCTTTAAATACAGTTTCGACTTGAATTTAACTTTACATGAAAAAATATTAGTGTATGCAACAGACTCCCGGGGTAAGCTGATATTCAAACATATAGTATAGTATATAGTATTCTTTCATTTGAATTTTCAGGAATTCAGTTTGCATTGGCTCTGAGGGTAACTAAGTTGCATAAATTTACTCGTTAAGTAAGTGACCTAGTGCATTCAATAATTGCATCATAATAACCAGCCTGATCACAGTGTGATAAATTCAAACCCGTCAAGTTCGTTAGGTGCATGTCTTCGGTTGTAAATAAATATACGTACCTTATGTTCCGTTTTTACAAAATTAGGTTGAAACAATTTATTTCACTTTCTCTGCATTTATTTGCTATCAGGTGTTTGCAGTCATCGGTAATCAGTTACTCCACTTCATGCATTTATCGTTAACTTGCTAGTCCGCTTTTTTAGCAGTCCCACTCATTATGATACTTGCAAAGTGCCCCATTTGTCAAGAGTTCCTGGGATCTGATGTAAATGACCACATATCAGCCCTCTTTTGTGGTCATGCTTACCACGCAACCTGCATCAAGAAATGGCTGGAAACTTCCTCTACCTGTCCTCAGTGCCGCATCTTGGTCTTCGGTTCGGACTTGATTCCGCGGCTTTACTTCTCATTTATCGACGATTTCTCCGAATTAAATGGAAATGTTCAACAGACTGGTTGCGTAAGACCCATTTATTTTGAATATCCCTGTGCTGTTATTCCTCATGAAATGTCTTTCCTAGTCGAATGCAATGGTCCTCTGTGTGAGGTTGTGAATCGAGCTTGATCCGTTTGCTGAACATAAGGCCTTTCATGCTGTTACAATTTTTTCTCAAACTAGTTTAACGCATAAATTAAATAACTTCGTATTGCCCAGCTCCAACCTTCAAATATTCAAGATGTTTCATCAACACATTTGGAAATCGTGAGGCTTCGTGGTGAACTGTCCTCCTTGGAAGCCCGTATGAAATTAGCAGAGCGTAAAATCAATGAGCAAGCAACCGAAATAAACACAATCTCCGAGCTCTACAGGGAGACTAGTGAACTTTATCGACTTGAACAACAAAAGTGTCTGCAGGCAAGGTAAGACGCTCGTTTGAATAGTTTTATCTTTTTGCAACAATGACAGCACTGAAAAGAGCAAGTTTATCGATGTATCATCACCATTCTTCTTTTGTGTAGATGCCTCTGCCGGACCAACATCCGGCGTATTTTGAGCGTACTTTGCCTAGAATTGCTTCTATGTGTTACTGAATCTTAGGATGTTGTCTTGATAGAACACAGCTCTCTGGTTACTCCAAAGTTGTGAAGGAAGCCCAGGAGATGCAGGATGAGTGCCTTCAACTGCGCCAAAAAGCAACCGAACTGAAAGACATTGAGACCTTGGTCCGATGTGAGTCATGCACCCAGTTTACTCCAGTTGTCTGCGTTTGTATCTATAACTCATCGTAGCTCCATCCGAACATTCATTTCCGTAGATGTTTAAATTACACCCTTGCCCATACAGAACATTGCAACATGCAGCAGCATCTCAGGAGCTTCCACTATATCTACATTTTGTCCCAACTTTTGGTTATGATGTTCTCATGCGATCGGACTCATGCATTCAAAACACCTCTCATAGTACAATCCAAAGCATTGCAATCTTCTTATACTCAAGCCCTCCTTTACCATCAGCAAATGAAAATGCCGCAATGGAGTTGATGCAGAAGTATAGAAACCAAAATGGCAACTATTCTCCTGAAACAATTTGTAATCTCTTTCGCTGGGTGGCTATTCTTCGTGGGGAATTATCGGAGACCCAAAACCGATCGCGGAAGTATCGTGCAGACGCCCATCGGCTACGGCGCTCTCATGCAGCATCCACCAGACTCGTCACCGATTTAGAACAGCAATTGGAGCACTACAAGAACCGTGTGACACAAATGGAATCCGAAATGATGCACCTACTCAGTCAATCTGCACGCAGTCCACCAGCTGCAGAATCGCCCCCTCTCCCCACCAGCTCCACACCTACAAGCGAATTGATAGCAACTCCGGGCGCTGGAAACAACCTTGGCTTCAAGCAGTGTCTGCATTTTATCGAAATGTTTACTCCGGAGATCAACCCTAGAACACCGAAAGGTCTAGTTGGCAGCGTACTACCCGAAGTGAGTGCGAGTTAGAATTTTGAAATCCAAAGGCGTCTCTCAAGCCCGTCTGTCACTTTTGCGACTTAGCAAGCTACTCGACTTCCGAGCCTCATCCATCGATGCTTTGTGTTTAGATCACCCAGGTGACACCGCGCGTCAATCCATTCAAGTGCGAATCTACCCCGAAAGTGGATGATCATGTGGATGCAAGCAAGGGGGACGCGCCATCTCCCAGGGAGTTCAGTCGTAGGCCTTCCAGCCTTTTCAGGCTCGCCATAATGAGGAACTTTAATAACAGAACCGGGGCCAATTCAAAATCCCAACACTGCCCTGTGCAATGTACTTGAAAGGCAACTAACTCGAAACCCCCGGACACTTTACGAAATTATTTTATAAGAAAACTTTCCCCTTAACGTAATCTCTGTATTTTATACTGTACAGTGATGCGTGTGTTCTAGCAGTGCCATTTAAATTACTTCCAAGGCATTAAGGTGAATAACATCTTATCTGCAAAGGAAAACGGCTCAGCGAGACGTGGTATGTAGCACGCTGCTGATGATGTCACATACACAAAGGTGCGGCCATAACGTTAGTTCTGAGTAAAATTAATCAGTGGGCTGGGTTTACAGTCTCCCCGACTCAGACGGTAGTTGGATATCCTCGCGACGCCGTAATAGTGCACTGTGGCAGCTGCCACAACAAATACATGGAAGATTTGGTGACTTTGGAACTAAAATTTGGAAAGAACTTACGCGATGAGGAGAAAGTAAAAAAAATTCAAGCTTTAGTTAAGCAAAGTACCCAGATGTCACAGTAACCAGGAAAGCAGCGTTCTGGAATGCGGAGAGCGTAGAGTACAGCACCAGATATGTAGAGAACGGCCATAATTATGAGCCAGTCAAGGGATCCGTCCTCAACCGCAGCATTCCAGCCTACTACAACAGCGTAATGTGTAGCAGGGATAATGCCGGAAAGTCCCAGCCCAATGAAAGAGCCGGCCCGAACTGAACGGAATCGAGGACTCGCAAATACATCCAGAGTCGACACACAAATCGACGTCACACCAAGCACGCAAATTAATGACAGATATCCTACCATTGCAGGGAAATCACAGTAGAAGGTGTAGTAGAGATATGGCACAAAGGATCCAATTGTCAGAATTGCGATTCCCGCATAGTCTAGCCTGTGAAGCAAGATTAATTAGCCCTGAGTGAAATCTAAAATACCTAACATCAGTGTGTCAAGTCGTTTTCAAAGATTTGATGTACTATAGATAAAATAGGGGAACCATGTCATCAAATCACCCACCGAAGCAAAGTCATCTTATGTATCCATAAGGGATAAATAATATTACATGAGAAAGCAAAGTGGGTCACGTGGAAGGGCGAATAATGCCAACTAACTTGTTAGCGAAACGGGATACTTTAAGAGAATGACAACTGAGAGTGTGAAAGATACAGGAAAACCCCAAACAGACCACTGCTCCCAAAAAAAACGCCGAGAAAACCAACTTGTCCTGCCACTGAATACTTTCAGGAGCAAGTGATATGAAAAAGGTCCAAATTGAGATGAAAAGCACACAGCCTAAAATGACAAATATAGTGAGCTTGAAGCCACTTACCGAGAAGATGAGTCCAGATGTTACCTGTTTCGGTATGGATACGAAAAATAGACTTTACACAACTCCAATAGGAGTTGAGAGCAGGGCGATGACCGCGAACTAAAAAATCATTGTCCTTCATCCACACCGGCAATTGTGCGAACTGAACCAACTGCCATCCTCTCAGCCACACCTGCCGCACAAATTCTTCTGCACTATGTGCCATCGACTGTGCGAGCTAAAGTATTCAGATACGACATGGTTCTAATATCCATTTAGAAAATGAACATCACGGAGAGAATAAACAAACCACGATTCCATGGAAAATGCGACTGCAAAATGCAATCATTATAACGCAATGCATATCCATTATGAGGAAGAGAGTCATGATTACGGCTTCAATTCATCGTAGAGGCATGAATAAAGATTGAAGCAATTGTTACCAGGCTACTGATCGAACAAATATGGACGACTTACACCAATAAAATCGTGATTAAATATTGACTCCGTACAACCGAATTTGGCAGTGTCTACGCCATCGGTTGCATTCGTGTCCGAAGCCCTGGAATTATTATCATTTGAGGGGACAACGGCAGCACCCACAACCTCCATGATAACAGAAATCATTGACCATGATAACCTTGAGATTTTAAGAAGAACCAAAAGAAGAAGAAAAAAAGAAATACAGCTCTAATGCATATGGCGTTTAATGCAAATCGCCATTAATATGAGGTCGAATTATCTTAACTTACTTAGCAAGAGTCATTTTATAACTAACAATTCTTCTGAAGGAGTTTGGTCTTTGAAAGTTCACCATTGGAACGATACTCAAAAGAAAACCCTGTATTTGATGAGTAGTGCTAGAGATCATTTTTAAGTGCCGCAATATATACTAGTTTGGATTAGCGTGCTTTTATAGGTGAGAGGCGGGAAACAATTGGGAACGCGAATCAAGTGCGTGAAACCGGCGAGGCGTCTCTTTCCAATTGATATCTCCTACTCGCCTCATCTGCATCCCATTCCCCATCTTTTCCATAACAAATGCTTAATAGATCATCTGCAACCAACTCTCTCTTGGAGTCTGAGTTTCAAGGACCAGAGGGTACACAGACAGCTCCTACAGGTGCAACCATGTTCCCTATTACTAGACAATCTTAAGAAATATCTTGTAAAAAGTCAACCGTATAAACACATGCATATAAATAAAAAAACTTTTTTCTTATATATCGTAATCGACGCCAACGCACCTATTACTCGTCATACACCAGGGGCGCAATAATTGCAATAGCGCATATGATGGTTGCAATATATTGTTTATGTGAATGCGGCCCCCCGAAGTTTCCCATAGGGTGGAAGAAGGCATAAGTGGGGCTGGATACTCGTATTCCGAAGAGAACAGAGCAAATGGGCCTGAGCATGGTCCTAAGGCTAGCCAAGAGTACACGGACCAGACACTTCATAAAGTGACCGCCAAACGTCAGGTAACCCTATAAACAAAGCATCACACTGCCCCTCTCTCCTTTTGAACTACGTCCACGTCGCTCCTCCTTGGTACACCTCCGGCGCCAGCCATCACAACATATTCAGTACTACATGAAAGCATTTTACAATCCATCCGCGCCAGTAGACAGATAACAAGAGACTGAGAAACCGCACTTGGTCTCCTCGGCAGCTTCAACTGGCTCTGGAGTTACGTTTTGTCTGACAATCAGATCCAGGGACGCATACACCTGTTGGCCATCAAGTGCTTCCAGGAATAGACGGTGGAACTCTGGTCTAAAACAAATATTTTACAGGGAGAAGTGGATGAGCCACTGTCCCGTATGCGAGGAGAACCGTAGCATCATTTCCGACACCTACACACGGACTTTGTATGGGAAAATCCGGCACGAAACTTTCCCAGATGGTTAAAGGTGGTGTTGCTTCAGTAGTTGATAGCCCGTCTGTAAAACACGGGAATAAGGTGAAACCAAATGCAAACGTCAGTTTAAATCCTTACATTGTGGAGGATTCGGGGGTTTGTCCGCCACCAAAGTAAATGCGCCTCCTTTAACTCACGTCACCTCTTCGCCTGTATCTTCACCTACTGCAATTCGATAGTCAGACTTCCTTCTATGCATGCATAGCTCATGATTGCCGGCGCACAACGCCAGAATGCGCTTAATAATCCCGGATTTCACCACTAAAAAGTGGAATTCCTTTACGCTCTTGTCTGCTGGTTGGATCATAAACTTCTTGTCGGGAAAAGAGTGGTTTCGAAGTTCCGACCGAGGGAACCCGACTTTGGGATATCTGCATGTGGAGAACCAGTACATCATCCGATGGAAACGCTGCTCGTTGGCTTGTTCGTACTGTTCTTTTCCGGAGATCAGTCGATTAACTGGCAAAGTTTAGCAACACAAACGTGGGATGTCAGTAAGATAGCGGTGTCTGTTGGAAAATAGATTTTTCCGGACCAACGAAGAACAAGCAGCAGAGAGATCCAACCTCTGCTGCAGCAGAAGGTCTTAAAAAGCATTTTAGACCTAAAAGTCGTTTAAAAAACCGTCGGGTTCGCTTTTCGCTGCCACCAGTGTAGCGTCCCGAGGCTTCCCATAAGGTGGAAAAGGACACAAGTGAGCTTGAATACATAAATTCCGAAGACGACAGGGCAAATGGGTCTGAGCGTGGCCCGAAGGCCAGCCCGCGTGTACAGGAGCTAGACAAATTCTGAAGTGACCGTCAAACGTCCGGTAGTCACATAAACAATGCATTACATCCCTCTTTATGTTTCCTGTTCACAGACCAAACGTTAATTCAGATGCAGCTGAAGGTGTTGAGAAGGAAATGTGCAATCTCTCACTCTCAAGGTAGCTGATGACGGGCGCCGCTGGCTTATGGGTGTTTCTTTGTGGCAGAGAATACATTGTGATAACCGGAGCGGGAGCTGTCACGTAGAGGATTTGGAGCGTTGCTCAGAAGAAGGGCAGTGTCTGACGGTTACTTTGGTATCTGTCATGCTCCTGTGCGCGTGAGATGGCCAATCTATAATCCATTCTCTCCCCTTTTCCCCCTGAATACAGATAATACCTTCTTCCACCTAGGGGTAAGCCTAAGGAAGCTACAGAAATAGCGACAGTTATTAGCCTGAAATGACTGCTTATGTTATGTCTAAACCAAGAGCGTAATCTTCCCCTGTGACGTCCCGAGGCTCCCCACCAGGTAGAAGACATTGGGTGGAGCTGAATACATGCATTCCAGGGAGAACAAAGGAATTAAGTCTGAGTTTGGCTCAAAGTTCAGATCACGTGTACAATGACTAGGCAAACACCAAAGTAACCACCAGACATCAGGTGGTCACATAAGCAGAGTATTAAATTAACCACTACAACGCCTAACTGTATGTTGGCAGAAGAAATGATGAGAAGTTTTACAACTTTTTGACCCACGTTTTAATTCTAAAAAAACAGCCATGAACTTGGGGCAATGATGTCCTGCAGAGTAATACTGTGGTTGATTGGGATGAGGTTACCTAAATGATCCTATGCCTTAATTTAGTAGTCCAGCATTTGGTTGTGCAGTCTCCGATCTCTTTTTTTTAATGGTTGACATGTGTATCCTACTCAAGTATTATTTCTTCTCTTCCCTCCAAAAAGGCACTGGAACGTTACACTCAGATATTTAAACGATCACTCACGTCCAGGTGCGATAAATGGGAATTATCCGAAGGCGGGGGAGGCATGATGCTCGGACGCAACACACATTCAGCAAACAGTAGGATATCTGGAGCGTCGTCAAACCTACGAAGCCGATGCCGAAGATAACGCGAGCACCAAAGTCAGCGTAACTCAAGTCAGCATTTAAACAGGTGACGTTCTCACCCATTTGTGAGATATTCAAGTGCTAATTTCCAGACGTGTATACCTCATCTCAGCTCATACTGGCAGTGTTCGTGAGGTTTTGCTACTGCCAGATCCTCCCAGTTTCACTTCTCCAAAATTTTTCGCAATTTTCTTGCCTTTACTTTCGAAGTCTCTTTTAGTTTAGGTCAAGTGTCTTTCTACTTGTCAAAGTATACTTAATTTTGTTCACCTGCAGCTTGTAGTTTTGAGTTACTTATCGCCGTAAATCGAATGCATCACATAGAACCTTACATACTTTAGGGTTTAATTAAATGTAATATTTTTGCTGCTTGGAATTTTGCTAATATGGGAATGGTTTTGATCCTGGTTCTAATTGTTTGTTATCATCCCAAAGCCTCGGCTCCAGAGTAGGAAAAATTTTACACTTGGTCAGCCTTTATTATTGGAAGTCGCCTTTCATAAATAATTCTACCGGACAAAGGAATTTTATCTGATCTTTGTCATATGTCAAGAGTATCTTGGATCACGGGTTCTTTTGCAATTTTAAACGTCGACACCGCCGACAGATGCCAGTTTAATGTCATTTGAGGATCACCGTTCTATTCTACCCATTTCTCAGCGCCAAAGGTCTTCTGAAAGTAAATGTATTCAAGTGCTGGAAAAATCCAAATATCCGTTTCACAACCGTTGCGAACTCAGTGTTAAAAGTACATCAGTTAAAAACAGACCTTACAGCCAAGTGCGAGGAGAGGAACATCCAATCGCCATCATAACACCGAAAGCCTTCTTAACC